TTGCTTTGCCTAATGCTTTTAAGACTTTTATCATATTTAGGAAGTAGTTTCAAAATGGTTATTGCATTAAAAAAATTACAAGATAATTATCACTGCAGGAGGATGTGGTGCAAATTTGTGAACGTCTTTTAAAAGTCGCTATTTTGCAGAATTATTCTTTATATATCATATCATTATTTTATGTATTATATTTTTATTTTATATATTTTTATTAATGTTTTATTGATAGGTGCAAAGTGCATGATGATGAAAAATATGTATTTTAAAAGATTTATGTAAATATAAAGGGTGCAAATTGCATGATGATGCAAATAGAAAATATCTATTTATTCATTCAAAAATAATGATAATAGTGTTAATGTTAAATGCAAGTAAAAGGGCTTTTTATTAGTTGGGTTTGGGCTATTATGATATAATGTACAATTATGGACAATAGTGATTGTGCATTGGAACCTATAAAGTTTTATTGTTAAAAATTATTATTATAAACTTTATTTGACCAAGATCAAAAACCTGTCGGAGATTAAAAATCTCTTTTACAAGAGTGTCCGGGCCAACATATGCAGCCAAAAATAACACGTACAGATATTATTTAGCTTCCTTTTTTATTCCACACATAAATGGGAACAAAATGTCAGCAAGTGTGATGATTTAAAGTACATTTAAATTAATTAAAGTTAACTAATGAAATTTAATTTGAGCATGTTCAGTCCCTAACTGTAGTTTGAAATGTTTAGCCTGTTGCTTAGCACTTCTGTATGCAATATAATTATTATCAGTGTAAATGTTGATTTCTACTCCTACCGAGAGGCACATTCATTTTCAGTCTGTCATTCTCTTCTGGAAAGCAGTAGGTACACACAGTAGGTGCTGTAACAAACTTTAAATTCTTCTTCTTTGTGTTCATATCATATGATGGGAAGATCCATCTTTCAACCTACTTACACTGATCTGTCAGTTTCTGCAGTTCTCTCCCCTCTTTTCTTATCTCGATACAAAGCAACAGTGTCAGTGAAACAGCTTAGATTATCATCTGAAGCTAAAGTCATTTGGAGCACAACAACATAGAGGACACCTATTAAGAGTATTTGCATGTAAGTGTGGTCATGTTGAGACTACCTGAATTACACGGTGAATTGAACTTCTAAACACAATAATGGAGGGTTTTTGTTATTCGTCTTGCTGTTTGATTTCTAGCCAGTAAAACATTGTGGCCTCTTTTCTCAATGGCTCAGTTTGAATGTACGGCTTCTCTGCTGAATAGAGGCTAAGCTCTGTTTTAATGTGAATGGGATTTTCAAGCCTCATGACTATCCTTCAGTTTTGCTAATTCGAGCAACAGTTCCAAAATCCTAATTTGAGATTGCTGATGCAATTTGGAAATAATTGAAAAATCAAAGTAAGCTACATATACAATTTGAAAGATTAGCATCAAGGATTGATTTTTTAAAATTATTCAGTGATTTTGGATGTGCATTTGAAAGGCTGGTAGCCTAAAACAGACTTCTTTTTTTGTATGTTTACATGACGGCCCTTTAAAAGGCATTTATAGTTCATGAAAGCAGTGTCGCCTGATCTGAAGTTGGTTTCAGATTGTCAGTGTCTGCAGTGGCAAAGATGAATTATTCTCCGCCGGCCAACTCTTTGCAGTGGCTGTAATTAAATAACTTCTGCTGTTAATTAGCACTTTTTAATTGCGTGCATTGGCCTTCCATCATTCTTTGAGCATTGCCAGGGCACTTTCCCTCTGTTCTGCCTGCATACTCAGCATTCATAGTTCTGCAACCTGTTATATTTTCTTAGTATTTGAATTTGATGGAGTGGAAGGTAGATATTTGCTGCCTAGGCAGCTTGATGGAGAGTTTAAGCGAAAAAGATTAGCTATACTCAAGACCTTGATGGGATTGCTGACTTGATGAATGGCATTGCAAAGTACTATGGCGCTATACCATAATACTATAGTACTGAACAATACCATATTCATATTCTGCGGTACATACACAGTACCCCCAGTTACTTTAAAATATGTGGTATGGCCATGGTACATGTCCCAAAAATATGGAATTGCCTTGATATGTGGTCAAAACCCCATAATGTTACTATATCAAATTGTTTTTGGTAAAACATTTTTCATTGTGTTGTACCTCATTCGTGTAAGGTGAAAATTTAGCAAAATTGTTAGTATTTAGGAAATAATAATTATTTTTTATATTTTCATATTTCTCATTTATTATTATTACTATTATTTTTATTGTAATTGTTATTATTAATACTATAATTGTATTGTTATTGAAAATGTATTGAAATATTTATATATAATATTATCATTTTAATATGTATTGTTGTTGTTGTTTATTTTTTAATTGTTATTATATTTTCATTATTGAATAATAACAATAATACTTTATAAATAATAATAGTGATAATTATTATTAATAATAAATTACATAAGATGTTGATTAATAATAATAATACATTCAACAATAATAATTTAAATGTTTATGAGTAATAATAATTATTACTGTTTTTATTATTGCTTCTAATATTTTTATTGTTATTTAACAACAACAATAGTAAAAATAATAATAATATAATAATTATTGTTGTTGTTGTTAAATAACAATAGCAATAATATTAGAAGCAATAATAACAGTGATAAATATTATTAGTATTCATTATTGTTATTATTAAATTGTTTATAAATTATATTCAGTTCCTACATTATTTGTTTTCACTAATTCAGCATGAGTGAAAATGGTTAATGTTAAAGACGTGATGACCATGCTTACCCAGAAGCCCTTGAGCCAACACTAATACTGCTAACACTGTTCTTTGCGTCTGAACTTTCAGAGAAACCACTGAAAGATGGGGATGACACAGCTGACCAGTCCCTCTCAGACTCTCTTTTTGCACACTGGGGGCATGACCTCGGCCCAGAGAGCCGCAAGGTGGCCCTGAAGAAGTTCCAGTACTACGGTTACAACGGCTACCTCAGCGACAGACTCTCTCTAGACAGAGCCATCCCAGACCTTAGGCCCGACGGGTGAAACAATCACTCACTACTCGCCGCCTTCTTCTCTCTCCCTCCTGTTAGCATATGTGAACACAACCTTTGTTCTTTTAGAAACATCGAATTTCGATAAATCTACCCTTTATCATCATGGTCATAGAGAACTAAAGGAATCACTTAAGATACAGAATAACTTAAATATCTTATATACTGATAAGATACAGAAATTTTCTCATAAATCATCAGTCTCTTTTTTTGTGTGTTATTAAATAGTTCCCTTTCAGTCGGTCACTCTCGACGTCACGTCGGATGATAGACGAACTGAGATCCCCAATTTGTCGGTCATCCGACGTGACGTCTCCGTTCCCTCCTTCAGGGAACGAGGGTTACCATACGTAACCAAGACGTTTCATGGGCACAATTGTGTGTCAAAAAAACCCTCAAACAATAAAACAATTTATCATTATATTTTATATATTTTATATTATGCAGCTGTGGGAGACAATGGAATAATACTGTAAATCAAAAATAAATTCAAATTTACATTTTTTTGTTTAATATAACAATACAAACTGTACATTACAATACGCTGTATATTATAAATATTTTAATAATTAATTTTTACTTTCTATGCAATACAAAGATCAATTGATTAATTTTGCTTATAACATATAATGTTTTTTTTTAATGTCACATCCATACGGATGTGGATTTATACGAGACAGAGCAATAATACATTTGGCACAGACATCATCTTTCAAAGTGTCAAACTGGAATGAAACACCTCCAGTTATATAATTGTTTATATGTAAAATGTTTGTGTGAAATCAAAACATTAATTTTTAATTAAATATATAACTCAAAACACATAAACACCTCCTTTAAACTGAAATTAAATTCCAGTCACAAATGTTACCAAAGTGATTAAAGGCAAAAATCAAGAAAAGAAAAAGTTTGAGATATTTAATCTTGGAAAGACTTCTCTTCCAGGTGTGTTATCCTGTATTTATGTACGTGTTTTTTTTTTGTCTGCAGGTGCAGAAACATCTCGTACCCCTCCAATCTACCACAAGTCAGCGTCATCTTCATCTTTGTGAATGAGGCGCTGTCGGTCATCCTGCGTTCCGTTCATTCGGTGATCCACTGGACGCCCTCCCACTTGCTCAAGGAGATTATACTCGTGGATGACAACAGCAACAACGGTGAGGGCTTGTTTTTGCCTCAATGCTGCTTGTTTGATTTGCTGGGGGCAAACAGGGACTGTGGGGGATTGATTCTTGTATGACAGATTATGATGAATAATGCATATGAATGTGGATTCATGTGGAAAGAATATTTGAGGTCTGTAACATGATAATACTAGGGGATTATGGGCAGCAGATGTGCATGTATCCCGTATGCACAACTATATGTTTTATGCTTTGGCATCAGAAGCTAGTCATTTCTCTTAAAAACATTATAGTCTAGAAGGAGTCAGATTAATCAAGCAAATTCTTTAATAAGATTTAATTCTTTTATAAAATGTTTTATAAAATGTAAATATCGTGTCATTATTTTTCTATAAATAGATCTGTATACACTGAAATATAATATATAACTGCCTTTATATTGTGTCCCTGCTAGGGGATAAAGAAATTTGTTGGTCCTTGACATCAAAATGTTTGAAAAGCCCTGTGTAGACTGTTGGCTTAAGAATGGCTATTTTCTGAATATAATGTGCAGTAAAGTACACTACTGAGGTGGGTTCATCCCAGGCGGTTCAGAAAGCAAAAGCTTTTATTTACTCCCAGTCACCTCTAGAGTATTTGGTTTTTCCAGAATAATGACTTCCCAGTGGTTATGCTACAGTGACCTTTTACTCGGCGTGTGTGGGATATGGTAAGGGAGCAGGGCGGTTAACGTGAGGTGCAGAGGTTTGGACATTTCATTCTCCCACAGATTGATAGTGGCCCCACATCACACCATCTGGTTGCCATGGTGAGACAGGATGATGGCTTTCTCCCTAATAAAAACAAACAACACAGGAGACAGATGGGAGGGGAGTAATCACCAGCAGACAGCGGTAGAGACTCCAAATATCACAGACCGCTGGCAAATATTAGTATCTGATGTTCGCAGCATTTCAGTTCATGTTCGTAATTCCCTGAGAGGTTGAAGGGGGAGACTATATAAACGAATTTTGATTAGAATGTAATAAAAGTCAGGTACATGTGTCAGTAGGGTCTCCCCGCTTCATTTCGAGCGTGTACTGAAACTTTCTCAGAGGCCACGAGAGTGATTTTAGTAAAAAGCAGGTATGAGGTATGAATTTTCAGATTGCATGAAGAGACTATTTTTCAACTATTTTCCCCTCTTTCCTTTACTTCACGCAAAGCTGAACTGTCGGAAAACCTGCAGAGGTTTGTGGACGAGACCAACCAGCAGCGTCCCGACTTCATTAAAGTGGTTCGGCATGATAGGCAGGAGGGTTTGATTCGCTCTCGAGTCAGCGGCTGGAGAGCTGCAACCGCTCCTGTCGTGGCCCTGTTTGATGCCCATGTGGAGTTCAGCGTTGGATGGTCAGTTACACTTGATTTTTAAAGTAATTTTGCTGACAGTACTGGACATAAAAATTATATAAAGTTTTTACTTATGTTGTGTAAAGTTCTGATGTTTTCAAAATATGATTTAGAGTTTATCATAAAATTAATATAATACAATTTATAATCAATTTACAATAAATGATTCAATTAAATACAATAAATGACAAAATATTATTTTATAATAAAATGTTATATATACAGGAAACAAAGGCGTTCATTCATGAAACATATTCCTGCTAAATAAAATCAGTGTACATTTTTTGTAAAACCACTCTTATGGAAATTGCCGCATTGAGTTGAACAAGACAGTACTGTATATGTAAAAATGGCTTTATGAAGAATTTGCACAGAACAAAATATTCATAAAGTTTTTCAACACAACTATTTGCAGAGTTTTCTGAAAATGCCCTTCTCCGTTTGGCATTCAAACAAATAGAAAATCGATCTAGCCTCCAAATAAAACAACTATTACTGCAGAGATGCTCATAGACATGCATCATTTCATTCAAAATCTAGTTGTGCTGCCTTTTACATGCTGAGAATTCAGATTGGCTGTAAATAGGCCTTCTGCGTAATGTTGTTTTTGCTCATTGTTTGTATGGAGTGCTGTAACTTTTACAGCACTCCATACCTGCTTGCCTAACAAATCACATGTTAAGCCTTTTTAAACTTTTACAGCACTCCATACCTGCTTGCCTAACAAATCACATGTTAAGCCAGTGTAACTGTTAAAATGTAGGAGACCTACTGTGCATGTGGATGGAAATGTCTGTTCTTCCCTGTGGGTGTTAGGGCAGGAATATGAGCAGAAGTGCCTGTCTACTGCAATTACTGTGCTAGGTGCAGCTGTCAACTTAGATACCTGTTAATTATTCTCTGTGCAACATGTGGAAAAAAACACCTCTAAAGGGCTTGGATGGAGTCCAGTGTATCCAAGTGTATCTTATGCATGTCAGCTTATTCCTGCTTGAAATTAATGCTGCGTTCTATCAGTTCATGCAGTGTCGATCCTAGACTTCTGGGGGTCCTACGCTCGGGGTGGGGAGGGGTGTGGTATGAGTGGTTATGAACGAACGAATGAAATGGATTTGTCTGTGTTTCACTCCGTCTCGAATCGCGCTCACGGAAAGCGTTTGAGAAACAGTGTCTCTTCCCCAGCTCGGTACACGTTCAACTCGTTTTTTTTTTGTCTCGAGCAAGACTGTACAACATTCACATTACATGATGGGCCCTACGCAGCGACGAGTGGATAGCACAGCTTTTAGCTAGCCTGAGGCTACTTTCCGAGTTCAAATGCAGTGCTAATGCCTGTCTTCACAACTTTTGAGATGGTCTTTTAAAGTACCGTTATCTCCCACAATGACATTGTAAGTTTTAGATCGATGGGTTCTGAGAAGTCATTGCTCGCCAAATTGAAAACTACAATCACCTTTAATAATCAAGTGTGAAATCGCATTTAGCTTGCAGTGGCTTGGGAGGGACTGCATTAAACATGGTACTCTGGGTTTTCAGAGCTCTCAAGAGACAAATTAGATAGCCTAGATCCATTCAAAAACTACTGCCCATGAATTTAAAGCATGTTCTGTTTCTGTTGATCTAAGGGCTGAACCAATCCTGCACAGAATCAAAGAGGACAGAACCCGGGTCGTCTCGCCATCATTCGACAACATCAAATACGACACATTTGAGATCGAGGAGTATCCCCTCTCAGCTCAAGGGTTCGACTGGGAACTTTGGTGCCGCTATCTAAACCCTCCCAAATCCTGGTGGACACAGAAGAATCAAACTGCTCCAATCAGGTAATCACACAAGATATGACCACCATCAGCTCAGTGGTTCTACAAAAAACACTTTTTGAGAAATACAAAATCACTGTTTACAATGAATCTTATATGCTAAACAATAACCAAAAATGTTTTTTGTAAAATATCTGAATATTTTTTTAAATTACAATTTTTAATTAATACAATGGTGTATCTTTAATTTAATTGGAATATTACAATGTGGAATATATAGATGCCAGTAATGGTTCCTGGTTTATTTCGATTAAGGCACAACTGTAAACTGACTCACGGTGCAGTCAGTTTTGAACTCAGAATTGGCTCTGATTCACTGATTGAGCCTAATTTAAACCTCTAACTCACAAGCAAATTCAAGACTGAATCTGAATCTTCTCGACTGACTCACAATCTTGGAGCCCTCCCTTCGGACAGCACGCCAAATATCTATACTATTTGCTCAATCTGATTATGTATAAGAACCTGTTAACTGGTTCTCAAGAATCATTTGCCAGTGAAACGGATATTCTGGTTTGCACTGTGTTGTTTGTCATGTGCAGGAAAAACTGGTGCACTAACCTATGTAAACTTATGAACTAACTAACGGCCACATCACGACATGATATCTGTTAATTGGTGACTCAAGAAACTGGATCAGACTTTACACAATGCTCAATGTCAATTTACTATGTTAGCATAGTAAAATACATTCTCATAAGTCATTTGACTTCATTGTTGCCGTGTGTATCGCCTCTCTCAACAGGAGCCCCGCTCTGATCGGTTGCTTTGTAGTGGATCGGGAGTATTTTGAGGAGATCGGTCTGCTGGATGAAGGCATGGAAGTTTATGGAGGGGAAAACGTGGAGCTAGGGATCAGGGTAAGAGAAATTCATACTGCCAATGAGAGTATTGAAAGTGCATTAGGTGACAGGATGTCTGGAGTTTGAGTAGACGAGCAGACGTGTGTCAATGAATAATGCTGTTTCATTTGATGAAAAGATGCTTTATGCAGGTTGTTCTTTGAGGGCAGACGGATATGTGGAGGTTTGCAGCCTCTGGTTACAGATAGACCTGTGTGTGTGTGTGTTTGTGTTTGTGTGTGTGTGTGTGTGTGTGTGTGTGTGTGTGTGTCAGCGCACACAATTAAAGTAGATCTCTCTGTGGCTCGCTAATGATAACCTGCCAAACATACATCTCGCTCCAAACTGGCAGGGTCCTAACCTCTCACTATTACACATGTACGGAGCCCTATTGAGACCTCTGCCGACTCCCATCAGACCAAGCAGCCCTGTAATTAGCCTCCTCAGCCAGAATCCAAGCCCAGAATGGAGCTCGCCACAGCAGACACACAGCCACTTGCTCTCACTGTGATTTGGCCTAGCAAAGTTGCAATCACTCCACGCAGGGTGCACCTTGACAATATCGAGCAGATCAAACCCCCCATTACACGCATAGATTTTTTTCTGGGTTTCATCACTAAGAGCCTCAATGAGGAGAGAGGAAATGAAAATGTCTCAGGAAGTGGCAGGCACCATGTGTGCGGTGGGATTTGGTACTGCGTGGAGATAATGGGCCTCAACATCTGTTCATACAGCTGTGCCTCTACAGCCTAATTCCACACTCTCATCTTCTGAGCTCCTTTGTGCCCCCGAATCTCCGAACGCAACATCGCACAAATGTTGCAATCCTGCAGACATTGCCAAAAAAGGAGGGGAAAAAACTGAAAGTTTGTCCATCTTTCTGCAGCAGGTTTTTGAAGTTCTGTAGTTCAGGCATGATATTGTAGCATTTGGACCAATCAGACACACAACTTTTTGTTATATTTAACAAATAATATCGAACTCCCCATCACCTAACCAAATGGCCAATTACGAGGGTCTATGGACCCTACCCCCGAAATGCACCTAAAAGATACATTTTGGTTGCGATTTTAGTTAACAGATGCTATATGCAAAAATAAATAAATAAATAAATGATAAATCAATATTTGTTTTCTTGGTTTGCAGTGAAAATGCCTAAAAGCCAAAAACTATTATTAATTAATTATTTTATTTACATTTTAGCTTAAATAAAACAATAAATGCTAATTAATTTATTAGATGTTTAGGTTCTGCAAAAAAAAAAAAAAAAAAGCAAAACAAAAGCACTGATAGTTTTGTTGTTTTTTGTTTGTTTATTTAGTTAGTTAGTTAGTTGGCATTGTAGATCATTCTCTGTGGTATTTTTTTTTGGAAAGAGACCAGGTCTTAAATGTGAGTTGCATTTTTAGATCACTGCAAAAAATAATTTTTAATCAGTATTTTGTCTTGTTTACAGTGGAAATACCTAAAACAAGATCAAATGAATTAAAAAGCATCTTGCATCTGATTTTTAAGACTTGTTTTCAGAGATTATATTTATTCATTTTGAAAATGTTTTTATCCAAAGTAACTTACTTGCTTTTTGCTTTTATAACAAAGTATTTTTATTTTTTTGCTTAAATCAGGAAGAAATTATTTGCCAGTGGTGTAAGACAAACTTAATGTAAGATATTGTTTGTGTTAATTAGCATTTTTGTTTTGAAAGTAAAACTTATTTTAAATACTATACATTATTATGCTATAATAATGTAATATAATAATAATAATAATAATAATAATAAT